CAACAATTTCCTTTCTATCTTGTTTCGTATTTATCGTAAAAATACGAGTGTTCGGACTAGATTTATTTTTTCGGATACTGTTCAAAAACTTTTGAGGATTAGTTTTTTGAAGAGATTCAATGTTTTTTGTAATTTTATTGATTTTTAGGTTATGAGATGCTTTTACTGTTTTACGAAAACATTTACGAGCTAGCTTGTATTTATTAAATGAAATGGATTCTTGCGATCTGTTAAAGTTACACTTTTTCCATTCCTTAAAGTAAAAAGAGAGAATTTCTTTGCATAATTTAACTTCTGGTGTCCACCATGATTTAGAGTAAATGCAAAATTCTTTTTTTTGAAAACATTTTTCAATTGCTAAAGTGGTAGCATTATTTATTTTTTTGCATGTTGATTGAGTTTGTTTTCTATTGCTTCTCCAATACTAACGTAATCTTTGAAGAACTAATAGAGGTTTCTATTATAACTTTCAATAAAGTTGTCATCCTTCCATGCATACTTTGGGATTGAATTAAATTTTTTAAGTATATTATTTATAACTGGACTTAAACTACTATTTTTAAGATTAATATGGGCAGCGATGGGTAAATGGTCACTAGTGTTTAAATGTGAATGAGGAATAGTTTTACAGTTTGTAAAGCATATTGATGATTCTTTTAAGACTACTATGTGATCGATGTAAGATGAATTACTTAGCGTTTTATGCTTACAGGTATAGGTAAAACCAATACGACAAATTATATCCAAAAAATAAGGCTTATTTATTTATTATTTATTAAAATTAGATAAATACATAGAAAAGTTGTTACATGTTTAATTATTTCGAACTTCCGTGTCATATACTTTTTTAGAAAAAGTCTGAAAATGGTCGGCAGTTATACACTTTCCTTCATCTTTGTATGTGTTAATGATTGGGCAATTACACTAAGTTGAGACAAATATTGTTTTAATGATTCAGAAGTATTTCTACATGAAGTAAAATAAACTCCAATAAAAAAAAGAAAAAACACTGTTGCTATATGAACCTTTTATTGCATTATAATGATATATTACTTTTAATGAAGTAACATAGTAGCATATAAAAACTGTTTTTACGGAAAGTTAATGACTTCACTTATGAAATTTAATATATACATGTAAAGAAATTGAAACCAATTATTGCGTCATAACCAATCACATTTGTGATCATAACCAATTACATTTACAATTATATTTACAAAGTACGTCGTTTATTAAACACATCCGGTTTAAAAAAGAGTTTGTACCTACTTAAGACTTAGTTTCACTTTATTAAACGTAATATTTATGCTTCTTTATTCTTATGAATTAAAAGTTTTCTCATAACTCTATTTTTTTTGAATTTTGCAAATGAGTCAAAATGCTAAAACCAAGTTATTTTATTTTGACTCATTTCAAGAGATTGCGATCATCTTTATTGCACTAAATAAAGGTTTTGTTCTCATTGTGTATGAAATAAACCAGTTATTTCACTGTGTGCCTTGTATTGTGTTCTTTCTGTTGAAGATATCGACAGCAAATTAACAAAAATTTAATTTACTTTTAAAATGAACTGTTCTTAATCTAAAATAAATTTTCAAACATACAAAATAATGTTACTCAATTCTAAAAATAACGCTTAAATAATTAAGTGCTACACCCAAATAGACACACATTTTTTAAATAGCTGTGTAAATAAACAAATTCTTTTAATTATGCTAGTTATGATTTTAACAGAGAAAATTTCATGTAACCTTTACATGGCTTTGTCTTAGAGCATATAGAAAATTTAATTGGACAATCAACTCATGTTTTGTTGCTACGGTCCTGTAGTTTAGGGCTGTGTTTATATCAGTTTTTTTTTTGTAAAACAATTATTCGTGGAGGGTCAGCGAAATTCCACGCTGCTAACTTGACCGCTGCATAGAGTTTTTTTTACCATGTGCTTTTTATAGAATAACCTGTAGAAGCTGCTCAAATATTACGCTGTTTTTATAAACTCCTCTCCCCTATGTGACATTTTATCGCATTTAAAAAAACCGTAGTTACTCCATCAAAAGTGATTTTAGATTCACCCGCGCGCTTTTATGGTGTATTTGGTACACAGTTCGGTAATTTTAACCAGTAAGATAAAATACCAAATTTATTTCGGAGCTAAATTTGTTTTAGCTCATTCAATTTTTGTTCATCTTCTACATTTAATTCAGATAATGTTTTGGTCTTTGTTTTAATCTCAGACCAGATTCTTTTTGTTTCTTCTTGAGACTTTTGCTTTGGTTTGTTTGCACATGCTTTTAAATATACTTAATAAAAAAAAATTATTATGAGTTTTTATTTTTCACTAGACATTTTTAACTTATAACAACAACAACAACAAATTTATTTTCCTTACAACCATTACGTTAAATAAGAATATAGTAAAGATATTAATAATAATAGCATTAATAATAGTACTACTACTACTACTAAAAAATTTTTTAATAGTATATAAATAACTTAATATATAATAAAAATAATAACGTAACTAACATAGTTGGGCGAGTTAGTTATAATAAAGTGACACAAAACATTAAAAGTAATAATAACAATAACATTAAAAATATAAGTTTTGAAAAAACTAAAATATTTATTAATCAGATAGCGATCAAGAATAATATAGACTAGCAGTAAGCAACCCGTAATACGGGTTAGCAAAAAATAAATCATTACTAACAATTTGATATTTATTTACTTTCTCTAACAAAATATAAATTTATTTATATAGAAAGCAACCTGCAATACGGGTAAGTAGTAAATAAATCATTACTAACAATTTGATCTTTATTTACTTTCTCTAATGAAATATAAAGTTATTTATACATTTTTTTAGTTGAGCTCACTTTTATTTTTCTTGGCTTCTTAGTTTAAGAGAACTCTTATCTTCATTAAAGATAAAGTTAACCATTTCTTTTGCAATGTTCAGACATTGAATGCGCAAATAACAACCATGTAGTAGTTAAAAATGACTTGAATTATATGCAAAGAACATCGATGTCAAATTTTCAAATTCCGTAAAATTGTTTAGGTAAATATTGGGAATATATTCTAGTCTCGATTTTGCTTTAAGCTGAGTTGTTTCTTTTTTTTTTTTTAACTTTTTATTTTACTGAGTGAAGAGCTTAAAAATATGTCACTATCGCACTTACACTTTTCAATGTTATTAATATACTTTTTAAATATTTTTAAAACATCTAAAATATTACACCCAAATTAGTAGGCATAGAAGTTGGATATCCGGAAAAACTATAAGTTGAAAAATATATCGCAAATCCGAAAAGGGCTTAGCCCTGCATACGGATCGTATATTATTATGATAAAGATTATTATTAAACAAACCTTTTTTTTAATTAGTAACCAGCATAAACTTGTTTATAAAAAAACAATAAAGAAATATATGGATTTACTTTAATAGCTAACGTGTATCAACATACTTATTTCAGCATACATCCAATCCATATTTAAATTAATTTTATAAAATGTCCAGAATACATTTTGCCTTAACTTGGCGTTAAATTATTAGTTTTATTTCATTAATTTTTGTATAGATCAGGTTAATAATAAAAGCAATTGGATTTTACTCAATATTTTTGAAGTAATTATTCAGCTTTAATAAAATTGATAAAATTATATAAGACAGTTACAAGATATATTTAAACCTTTGTTCACTTTTTGAAATTCCGTAAATAAGCGAGTATCAAGTTTACATATCTTTAAAAGAAATTTATTTACATGATATATAGTTAAATATAAAACAAAAATATTTTAAAACAGAAGCATATATAAAACACATTTAAAAAAACAAAGTTGAAGCCACCATTCACAGCAACGAGGAGCCAAGCATAGCCTGTTGTAAAGAGAACCATATCAAATAATTTAAAATATTTAGTACCAATAGGAACGACAATTAAACATATTTAAAAAGCTACGTGATTCCATATTAGTAGGCATGTTATAGAAAAGTATATTAAAAAAGTATATTTAAAAAGTATATTTAAAAAAAAAGTGTATTAAATAGAAAACAGATTTTTAGAAACTACCTATTTTTGTAAGCATTTTGCCGATGGTGTTCAATTTTGAAACCAATATCTTTAATGGAAAGCCAACTTGTTTAACTAATCTCATTCAAAGAAGAAAATTATCAACACTTAAAGATAAAGAAAAAAAAATGAATGAGATATAAACAATCGTATTATAGTATTATATAAATAAGTATAGATATATGAAAAAAAAACAACAGCTGGAAAACAGTATACCTGCTTTTGGTAACCTATTGTAATACTGCAGCAGTTGCTGGAGGGATGCAGTTGTTCTTTTTGGTGTTGTTCAAAAACGTAATTTTTACTATGGCTTTTAGTAAACTTTAGTTTAATTTAAAAGACATCAGAACGGATTTAAAATACTCATAATAAAAAAAGCGAAACATAAAATGCTTCAAGGAGCCAAACTAAAAACATAATAGATGAAGAATCGAATCAAGATAAATAAATTGTATTTATATAGCTAAATATATTGCCTTGGGTTTTTGTAAATTTTTAAAGCAGTGAGTTCAATAAATGAAACATACCAAATAATTGTTTTTAACAAAAGAATGCAGCATCATTTATTATGATAATTGGATAATGAATCAATTCAACTTTCGACTTTAGATTTTAGGGAGAAGTATGTAAGAGGGCTTTAAATTTGAAGTCAGGTTTAATTGGTGAGAAAAAAATTAAAAATTTTATTAAAAAAGATCAAAACAAATCAAATATACAACATAATATATATTTAAACAAAAATTACAAAATAAAAAAAAAAAACATTGAAGAAAAAGCAGCAACAAAAAAGTCATAAATATCTCTACTGATATGAGACATTTACAGCTTTTTGATTGCTGTGTTTTCTTTGGTGTCTATCAACACCCCGGTATGGATGAGCCTTCCATTTAAAGGAGGGCTCATCCATTCCACCCTTATCTTTCTATTTGTTGAAGGACCTCTCTGAGAGAGAGTTCCCGGGTGTTGGGAGCGGTAAGTTTTATAATCTTCGAATGATAAGGAATCTAAAGTTACAAATAGAAGAATATAATAAAAATTATACATTTGCAATTATTTAAAAAAAAAATTAGCATAACCTCACTATTTTCTTTCGAAACAGAAGATGCTAAAAAAAAAAAAAGAGAGAGCAAATTAAAAAGGGTTAAACATGCAACATTTTGTATTTTAATAAAATATAGGGCAATAATGCAACCAGTTCAAAAGTGTCATATTTATAATTTAATTTTTGCACCTATTTGCACATATTTCTCCAAACAAAACATATAAAATATAAAACTAAATTAGTGTCTGGTGGAAGTATAGCCCTACCAGCTATACTTCCACCAGACACTAAAGACAAATATATTCTTAAATAAATATAAAATAATCGATAAAATAATCTTAACATGTAAATATATGCATATCTAAATAACTGCTTTACCCATCCCCCTCATTTCATCCATAAAGTTGTCTAAAGTAAGAAAAAAATAACTAAAGCTAAAAACAAAACTATAAACTAAACCAAAACTACAAACTAAAGTAAACTTTAAATCTTCTAATTATTAATGCTTTATTTATTAAACTAAACTAATCATAATTTATACTTAGTTTTTGTTCCAACTCCCCTAAAAGAAAGTGTAAAATAAAGCTAAAGAACTTGATTTTTTAAAATTCCAGTGGCAGTACAAAGACACAAATTCCTATTAACAAATATCTAATAGCAAAAACACTGACTTATTTCCTTCCTCACTTCTGTATCTAAGCAATAAAAGCACTTTAATGTTTAGACGTTAAAATATCGATAAAATACATATTAAATGCCACATTCAACTAACTAATGTAATTAATACCTTTATTAGATCTCTCTTGATTAACTAAAGGAATTAAATTTTAAATAAACTGTAACTAAATTTTAACAAACAAACAACCGAAATAAATCTTCACTTTAAAAGTACGTTATTAAGTTGATTAAATAGATCAAACAATTTAATCTACTCTAATAATCTACAACCTTATTAATAAACTTTAATTATTTTTCTACGACTCAGTGTAACTATAATATAGATATTTTTTAAGTAAAAAAGAATTTAATATTATAATATATATGATTTTAAAAACCTGAAATTTTAAATCTACTTTGAAGAAAACAGATATATATTGAAAAGTATTTTTATTTCTTTTTAAAAATTTAAAAATGTTTTATAACTTACTTGTTTCAATATTATTACCAACGTCTAAATAGAAAAACAAACAAACATTTAAGTCGACTCATTCTTAAATCTTATAATATGTATGATTTTAAAAACCTAAAACTTTAAATCTACCTCAAAGAAAACAGATATATATTGAAAAGTATTTTTATTTCTTTTAAAAAATTTAAAAATGCTTTTTAACTTACTTGCTTCAATATTGTCATCATCTAAATAGAAAAACAAAAAAACATTTAAGTCGACTCATTCTTAAATCTAGTTTAATTTCTTCAATAATAAAAAAAATTTAATCTTTGAGGATTAAATTCATTTACAAAAATTTAAAGTTCGTTTCAACCATTTGAATATTGTAAAGTTAATTAAAATTAACAAACATATAAATGCAATTTATAACATTTGTTTATAACATAATGAAACAAAATTTACTTCTTAGTAATTCAGCAACTAAAAATAAACATATATTTAAGAACTAACAACATAACATTATACATCTGTAACATAATACACATCTAAATAAATAAAAACCTTCATCCTCAACCTGATTCATTCTATTAATTCGATATAAAAAATAAAAACAAATATGCTTAAAAACAAATTTAATAAAGGTAATAGACATGTTAAAACATACGTACTTGAAAGGTACCATTAGATGTAAAGAAAATTTATAACGAAAACGCGCTTTTTAAAATAAGTCTGGAAATTCCAATCTCAAATTCCAGAACAGAAGAAAAACTGCGCACAAACAAAACTGCGCATCACCGCAGTAACTAAAGTAAAAGAGCATTTAACTTTAGCTATGCAAACTACATCACGATTAGCATGTTTAATTAAATACATTATGATTATCAACTTTAAAATATGTCTAACATTTAAACTCATTACGCAACTAATCAGTTTATTTACTAATATGTGAAATAAACATATCTGTACATCTAGATAATTTTAGGAGCTAACTTGTCTCAATTCCATTTTTGTGTAAATGAGTTATATACAAACTTGTTGCATATTCTGTGGGGGCCAAATAGTCTTCTAATCTTTATGTACTACGGTTTAACAAGAAACCAAAATTTATCTAGTCTTAAATCCATTTTATTAGCTAAAAAATCATAAAAAAGTATTACTATACTATCACATTTATACTTGTATATATCACATTTTGCTACTAAATATGTTTTAAATTGACTTTTGAGGTTGTTTCATTAACAACTATTCCATTATTAGTACGCACATCCTCCCAAGATGTTGCTCCTTTTGCTTGCAAAAGTAACAATCTAAGAAAAAAAAATTCTCCTGTTGGACTAACTTTATACATTCTTACTATCACCTTATTTCCACCTCTTTATCTAACCTTCTTTTTACAATGTTTATCATCAAATTCAAAGTGATATGGAATGTCAACATATGAGTAGCGATGGGCTCCTTCATTTTCAGAATTCAATTTAAACCAGGCCAAAAGGTGTGTATCACGTTGAGCAGCACGATCTAACGCCACTTACTCTTCTCCTTCTCTAAAATACACAATCTGATTCTCAGGAAGATGAACCTTAAGACGTATAACAGTGTGTGACTTATGACTTATGGGATACTCAAATATTCGCCACAGTGCCTCAGGTGCACTAACATAACGACAATCTAAGAAATTGTTTATTTCATCGTGATTAACCTGTTCATTTATCAAAACATTTGCACAATCATGCCCTTTCTATATGTATTTGCACAAATAACAGCCTTTACAAACATGCAAGCTTCAACATTAATGTGGGCTTGATATTTCTTTGATAACCAATGATTATAAGGTACCACCCAACGGTTTTCTACATTGTTGCCTTTAATATTGATAACCAACCCATTATCACGACGCCTATAGCGTGGATAACCATTGTGAACAGCTAATGTGTTGGCAGGAGTTGGGGAAGCACCATCTTCGCCAACAAATACAACTGCAACTTCATCATGTCAAGGTAGATTATAACGACGTCAATCACCGCCTTCAAGTAAAGACATTTTTACAACAGAAGCTAAGCGACCTTCTATAGCCGCCTTACAAATTTCTTCATCTTCTACTTCAGCAATGTTTTTAAATGCAAAAGCAAATGGACTTTGTTCCATAATTATAGTTTGCAATTGAAACATTAAATCACGTAAACAAAGATCATTACCACAGTGTTGCATTCTAAAATTTAGTGCAGCAAGTGGATCATAAATATATGGTTGAGAATATATTGGTGGAATATCTTGATCTGGCCTAAGATTACCTACACGATGAAAAATCTGGCCACATATTTTTAAACAAGGAAGCCCATGATTCATTGGTTGAACTACATTTGCTGTAAAAGAAGCAAAAGAAAGGCAGGCATTATAATTTCGAATATGTTTTAAAAAATTAGCATTAGCATTACGATCTACATAACTCCCTGTAAACAAATGCTGTAAAGCTTGTGTAATGTGTGAAAGTGGAGGCAAAGCTACCTTACCATTATGGCAACATAGAAAATGTGTTTCATCTGGAAATTTCTTAGCACCACAGTGCTAACAAATTTGATTCATTTCTCCTTAATAGTTATAATCTAGAATAGCATTACTTCTCGCAATAGAATATACTCGTCCTTGTCCAACAGCTCTTTTTTCGATTTGGCGACGATTAACATTATCTCGATCGAGCCTATTTCTTTCATTTTGGCGACGATTAACATTATCTCAATCGAGCCTATTTCTTTCATTTTGGCGACGATTAACATTATCTCAATCGAGCCTATTTCTTTCATTTTGGCGACGAATAACATTATCTCGATCGAGCCTATTTATTTCATTTTGGCGACGATTAACATTATCTGGATCGAGCGTATTTCTTTCGTTTTGGCGACGAATAATGTTTTCTCGATTAAGCCTATTTCTTTCATTTTGTAAATGATTAATTTCATCTCGCCTAAGTCTATTTCTTTCATTTTGTCTACGACTATTTTCAACATTATAAACCGTTTTCTATTGTACATAACACTTATAAACGCGTTATGTACAATAGAAAACGGGTTATTAACGCAGTTTTGTAAATTTTTTTCCCCCAACAACAACATTTTATATCTTAATTTTAAATTAAATAAATTATTATTATCTTAACTATAAATTAAATCTTTATAAATTAGATATAAATAGAAAAACAAACATATAATAACACAATTATATCCTAAGCCAAAATTCAATCATGCAAGGCAAATTATTAAACTTTTTAAAAAGAAAAAAAACATATTTTTTTTCAAAGAGCCAAAGTATTAACAATACTATAGATAAATTTTATTTATAACAAAATGTTGTCATGGCTTTTATCCCAATTATTAAAAGCATTTGAAAGCATGAAACTACCCATAAATATCGTTTAATAGTAGACACCATCTAAGAATTATAGTAATCAATATTTTCAAAATTCACATGTATAACACGAAGCTTTAAATTTAAAAGTACAATTTAAAAAAGATTACAATAAACTAATTACTTATAAAATTTTAAAAAGATTTTATAAATACTCAATGTCTACTTAGACATTTTGAAAAGGTTACGATTTTGAAAACTTGAAACTTTAAATTTAAGTTTTCAAAAACTGAAACTTCAATTCTACCTCAAAGAAAACAGATATATATATTAAAAAGTTTTTTATTTCTTTTTAAAAGTTTAAAAATGCTTTTAAACTTACTCCCTCCAACATAATTATATAATATATATATATATAGTATATATGATAAATAAACCTCCACAATTTCCTTGGTTTAACAACTCGATTATGATTAATAACAACTCTGTAAACATGAATTTTCTAATAACCTAAATAAATTACAGATAGACAAACATAAATAACACAATTAAATCCTAAACCAAAATTCATTCATACAAGACAAATTATTTTATATTTATTGAAGAGTCAGAAACATATTTTTTTTCAAAAAGCAAAAGTGTTAACAATATTAAAGATAAATTTTATTTATGTTAAAATTTTCAATAAAAGTTAAATTAAGTTAAATTTGTGAAAAAAGAATGTGAAAGCATGAAACTACCCATAAATATATTTTAACGCTAGACAAAATCTAAGAATTAATGTAATCTATAACACGAAGCTTTAAATTTAAAATTACCATTTAAAAAAGATTAAAATAAATTAATTACTATTATATTAAGTTTAATAAAAATTTTAGATTACCTATAATTTAAAGCTACTAAACATTATCTACTTAATGTCAACTTGGACATTTTGAACTCGTACCATGAAAAGTTGAAAGAAAATCTCTAAGAAGCACGCGGTGAAGAAAAGTCTAGAAACTACTTAAAAAGTGTATTTTACAGATACAGAACCGTACTATAAAACAATACGCGTAACTATAAAACAATTCGCGTAACTATGCGCACTAATAATAATAATAATAATAGCAACAATAATAATAATAATAATAATAGCAATAATAATAATAATAATAATAATAATAATAATATTCATTTGGCTATTAATTATAGAGATTATGT